TTTATTTTTGGCCTTCCTGTTTACTTGTTTAGGCTGTTTATTCTAATCTCACCCTCACCCAGCCTATTGTTTCCAATCATGCTTGCATGAAATTCTCACTTTATACCATTTAGCTTTTTCTACTCTCACTCACTCGCCACTGAGGAGGAAGGGCTAGTGTTGTCCAAAAGCTCTGGTTCTATTTCTGGCTGTTTACTTACGTTTACTTTTTAGCTGTTGCTTATCATTTTTGTATCTCTACTGAGATCCAGCCATTGTTTCCTACAGCATTGTTGTTTTCCAGTATTTTGCCTTTTAATCTATATATATATATACATACATACATACAGAAAATAACGTGTCAGTATTAAAAATATAAATGTTTTGTTTCATATCTTATTGACCGAATCCACTTATGGTTTTGGATTGCTACTGTATCTATGTATTTGTCGTTTCGTTACCGGGTAGTGTTTTGAGGATTCGCAGTTATCATTGTTTGTACCGTTGTTTCTTACCGCGTGATTATGTTATACCATGTGCATCCGTTGTAAAATCCACTGCTGTATACTTGTTACAGTGTATTATCTTTGCAATGATTGTGACATCATGTAAGTACCCTTTTTCTTACATTAACTAAATGTAGGCCTATGTTAAACCTGTTACATACTACAAAAATAGGCTCCCAACTGGGGCGTGTGTATATTATCTACGTGGGGATTCGGTTATCAGAAAATGTGTGGTGTTATTTTTTTATTTGTATGACATGGCACAGTCAAAGAATAATATAGATAGCAGTACTTAAGATGGCACATGACCCATCATGCACCTCTACCGGATTCCACCGGAATTGCCAGTTAAAAGTGTTAAGTGTTCGTAATGTCACTTGTGCGTTATTAACTTGCAGTGAGAGAACCGCTCTATATAAGAGTGCGTCGGGCTTTATTGTTGGAATTAAAGTTTTAGTTATTGCCATTGTCAAAAAAGCTTCTCCCCCCCCCCTCACAATCTGACTACTTTCAAACCAGGGTCAACTGTACATGGCTGGATGTGAGTAGCGCGTAGCCAGAGTCACACCCAATTTATCAGCATCCCTTATAATTAAAAATACAATTACTACTAACGATGTAATAGTTACCTACAACAAACATAGACTAGTTAGTATGTGTTTAATTATTTAGAGAATTCTCATAAGATTTTGACCCTTGATTTTGCCTTTTTCTTAGATTGTATCAACTATGAAACCGACGATACCTACAGATACCGATTTAAGTTACCAAGAATAAGGAATGACGTAACTCGGTTTGAGTTTTCCGTTCAAGCCTCAAACGACGTGCACATTGCACTATCGTCACAGAAGGAAGAAGTCCGTGAGATGTACGAAATCGTCATTGGCGGATGGGGCAACACTAAATCAGTCATCCGACGATGCAAACAGTGCACAAATCTTGTTTCAGAGAGGCGTTCCAATGGTTTTCTGGACTCGGGAGGGTTTCGAAAATTCTGGATCTCTTTTGCTGACAGCACAATCTCGGTAGGCGCTGAAAACGAGCCGGCATTTATGGAGTATACTGATGACGATCCGTTGGAACTTCACTATGTCGGCTATACTACTGGCTGGGGAAGCAATGGAAATTTTAGATTCTGTGAATTAGGTTAGTGAAATAATCATGTAGTAGTAAAATAACTCAACAGGCTAAAGTAGCTAGTTCAGTAGGCCCTAACTATGAACATTTTAGCGGTGCCTTGTGGATCGTCGGCGCAGAACCGGCAGTGTGGCGAAACCTCTGTGGTGAATATTCCCTCCTTTACTATGAATGTCCGGCGTTCAATACGCATGGGTTATGTTCTAGGCCCATATGGAATCAGCCAAAATTTATTCATTTATTATTATTATTATTAAAATACCCTGCGTAATACCTTGTATTTCAAAGGGGTATCAGTTTAAATGGAATATAGAACCAAGGAGACAAATATTTGAAAGTTAGTCTAGCGCACGAACAGTGGTTACCAGTTCCACTGTGCAATACCAGTCAACTGCGTCATAATTTTTTATCTTGCTCTCTCCCTACAATAATATGGGTGTAAGAAATGAACTATGTACGTGGATACTCATTATCGCATGGTTTTATTTCCTAACTTGTATTTATAATATAAATGAAACGTCGTATAATTACCATATAAGACCGAGACTGAAATGTATGAACTTTTTATTTCTTGTATCTCAAATACGGTGTAGAAATTTTATACGTGGCTTGCAGACTTATATAAAGAGATATAATACTAATATTAATTTATCATTGAACTTTTCAGGCTTACTCCAAGTCGTGGCTTGCGAGCGTGACTCTGCCGAACTGCGATGCAGGGGATCTTCTCGTATTGTCGTCATGCACGCGACGTATGGACGCACGAACCGTGAAACGTGTCCCAGTCGTTCTATACGCACCACCGACTGCCGAACCAACGGAAATGTCGCCGTCAGAGAGGTACGAGAACGCTGCAATGGACGTCAACGATGCCAGGTAACCGCATCTAACGGAATCTTTGGCGACCCGTGCCGCGGGACTCACAAGTACCTGAACATTGTATACCGATGTGCTGGGGGATGTGAGTTTTTTTGTTTTATTTTTGTGTATACATGATTTTGGACCCGTATTTATGATCCTATGGATGATCCATTAGAAAAAAAATCCACAGTTCCCCATCTTTGATTGGTAATAGGTCTAATGCAGCAAGGCGACTTATTTGGTCGTCAAACCGTAGTCTTATACTAAAACAGCCCCAATCAATAAAAACCAGGCTAGAGGCAATGCATTTTTTTATTTTATTTTGACGCACCTATTGTGAAAAACAATTCAAAATTGAATTGTGAATTCAATTAGGATAGGAGCATTTCGGTGTGAATCACACCAAGTATAACCCGAAGACTTGTTTCCAGTGGGGTCCTTCTGGTGGTGAATTGGGCAGAGTACATCGGAAGAAATCCTCTAGTTCTTTCCGAAGAATGTACTTCGTTATTTATCGTGCACATGGGCCATATAAACGGGACCAACGGCTTAAAAGTCTCATCCGAAAGACGATGTGTTATCGTATCTTGTATTTCAGCCCTCCAACTGAAACACAAGAAAATAGCGATGGGAATTGAACCGGGGACCTAGAGATCTACACGGTTCAGTAGCCGACTGAGCTAAGCTGCTCTGAACGAATGAACTTAACTGTAAATTACAATAGGAGACAGTGTAAAATTCCAAATAAGTTATGTTATTCTACATGCAGTGTTTAAAATAACAAGGGAAAAGGGTGAGATTTTTGTGACTTCATTAATGATCATTGTAAATTAATAGACTGTTGCCATGTAAAGTTATTGACATTTCTTATCTTTTCTATTGTTTGATGCGGCAATATAGATGACGGAGGTAAGTCTTTGTTTTACTAGATTTAATCATCCTACGTTCTGTCCAGTTTTAGAGCGTCAGAAGTATAGCTTCTATATAACTTCGTAACTATAAAGTCACTTAGTATAGTAACATTAGAAACTGAAAGGCACGTTGAAAACAAATGATTATAATCAGAAAAGTTCATGTTTTTTTTGTTTTTTTTTAAGATTGCGTCGTTTACAGAACGGATACACAATACGAGTACCGTTACCTCATTCCTAGGCTTGAGCAAGGAGAAACGCGTTTGGAATTTAGCGTAAGGGCGCGAAATGACGTGCATATAGCTTTTTCGTCTGAAGAACGTGACACGCCAGCCATGTACGAGATTGTGATCGGTGGCTGGAGTAATAGCAAGTCCGTTATTCGTCGTTGCAAACAGTGCGATAATCTTGTTGAAAAAAGGAAGAGGGATGGATTTCTTGATCGTCAGATTTATCAAAACATTTGGATTACTTTCGAGAACGGCTTGATACAAGTAGGTTATCAAGGGGACGACGCTTTCATGGAATGGCGTGACAATAATCCATTGCCTGTCAACTACATCGGTTTCACTACAGGTTGGAGAAGTGATGGTGTTTTCCGTTTTTGTGATATGGGTAAGTAAAGATCCAATGGTAGATCCAGAAGGTGTCGAAAGTGGCGCAACACCCCAAACCCAACTCTCGGACCATTGTCCTCCATTTTAAGCATTCCTTGTAATCAGCTTTTTTTTTTTTTTGCATTTTTTTCTTTCTTCATTTATTGCTTCTGTAAATATAAAATGCTTATGCTTAAACAAATGAAAACCATTGGGGAAAACAAAAATGCAAAAACTCTTATTGGACATCTTCCACTACCACTCTGTTGTGTCCCCGGACAATAGGTCAATTTGCTCGACGGGGGGGGGGGAGCCGAGGTCCCCGACCGGGGTTGAGGTGTCCCCGACGAAAGCAAAGCGGATGTGGTCGGGCGTCGCCCAAAATATTTTAAAGGGGCCCCGAGAATGTTGACAATTTAGAGGTTTCAAAGGCTTATTTAATCGATTTTAGAATCTAATAATAGGCCTATGTAGAAAATACTTATAATTTTTTCTCCCCGACGAATTATGTTTTTTCTCCCCCCCCCCCAAAAAACAGGCGTCACCCCTGCTTACATACTGGTTAATATGAAATTATTGTCTATATGTTGTTATATACTTTTTTGGACTGCATACTCTGAGTGTCGCCAAAAGGTCTGATAGAGTAATATTGATAAATTCACGCATCAGTACAGTTTCACCACTTTCAATTTCGATACCTTACGTAGGAATATTGCATGTACAATCTTGTGAGGGAGAAACTGGAACTATTGAGTGTGGTCCAAACCATTCCATTAACATCTACGAGGGATTTTACGGTCGAAAAAATAGGGGCGCCTGTTCCGATGGACCAATCAGAACCACTGATTGCTCTGCACGAAGCGCACCCACCAAGATAACAGAACGTTGTGATGGCCAACAGCAGTGTTCGATTGATGCAACCAATTCTGTATTTGGGGACCCGTGTCGAGGCACCCATAAGTACATGAGGATTCTGTATTTCTGTAGACGTAAGCTTAGACATATACATATTATCGGTGATGGTTCAAACGCTGGTATAGCGTTACCAGTGTCTTTTTATTGTGTTCTAGTCGCCTGTCACATTTATGTTCTTAACTTTACTCATAAACCTGTACAACCAAGGTCTAAAGATGTAACGAATATTAATTATTTGACAATATTGTTATCGGTAGTGGTTATTTAATTATTCTTCATCACATAGGCCTATTTGCCACCAATGACAAATATTATCCATTAGCTATTATCATAATATATAACATAATATCATCCTGCTCTATGATAATAACCTACAGTGGAATAAAAAGCTAAGATCGAGGAATACACCTTCATGGATTGAAGTACAAAATGCTGTTGCTCATTTAAAGAATTATCAACTTCCAAGTCGTATAGAATTCAAATGTATAATTTTAAACATTATTTACAGATATTATATGACGGAAATCCTTAAGCTCTTGAAAGTTTAAAAGAAATTTAATTATTTAAAAGGAATTGGATTATTAAACATCTGATAATTGGCAAGAATTTATATTTCTTTCAATTTTCAGTTGAAAGACAATACTGTAACTTACAAGTCAGCGATGACGTCATCACTGAATTGCATTCAAAACCTTACTATAATTGCTTATTATTAAATTTTACAAAATAAGCAATTAAGTTTCTCTCAATTCTCAAGTTAATTAGGTAGACGTGGTAGTTTAATTCAATTCAAATCAATTTTATTGTCATCATAAGTAAATACGATGATCTGAAATTTATTGAATTGTTCACAATAGAGAGCAGCTTATCTCATTAGAGAGCAGCTTAGCTCAGTCGGCTAATCTGGTGGTAGCCACTACGTGTGTGCTGAACCGTGGAGATCTTTAGGTCCCTGGTTCAATTTCCATCGTTGCCTCACCTTGTGTTTCAGCTGGAGGGTTGAAATACAAGTTGCAATAGTGCACCGTCTTTCGGACCAGACGTTTAACCCGTTGGTCCCGTGTGCATTTATGGCCCATGTGCACGTTAAAGAACGCAGTACATTCTTCGGAAAAGAGTAGGGGATTGTCTCCTGGTGTACTGATCATCACCAGAAGGATCCCACTGGAAATAAGTCTTCTTCTAGACTTGGCTATCCTTGACCTAATAAATCCAATCCAATCCAATCCAATATAAGCCTATACAGTTTTTACTCCCGCCCGCTATGGTAAGACTTCCGGCATATTTTTTCTTTTATATTTTTCTAACAACTTTCTAAAAAAATATCTAATATTTGAATTGGTTTTTGTAACACTTCGTCAGCTTAATGTCGAATAACAGAACAAAATAGTATGTTATTATCGATTAACATAAAAAAAAATACCGTTCCTATTTGGCTTATAATCAAATAGCGAAAAAACCCCCATTGTTTTCATCTATCTTTAATTTGAGGTTGATCTCATTTAATTTCTTTCACTGAGCAATACATTTTCTAATTATATTTTTGATGGGGTTTTCCACTTTGTTCAAATGTCTATTACTTTCTGCCATGCAGTTTGATATTACTGTTATAATCATTTAATTAATTTTGTCTTCAATAAAAATTAATTCAAACCATTTAATTTAAATTATTTAATATTTAACTTTTTTCATAGTTGTAAAATATGTATCTTGTTTCTCAAAAGAACTAATTTTGTTATATCCTTAAAATATATAATTATGCCCTATTTATATTATATGGTTTATGGCGATTTGTTTATGATGTTGGGTCTATGTTGAACCGATTTTGTCCAGGCTTTTTCACTTTTACACCATTGTACTCTATAATAGTAATTGTTGGTGTATGTTGCTTTGTTTATAGTTTTTTTTATTTTAACAATAGCCATCGCTTATAAAACTTAGACATATGCGTGTATAAAGTGATGTATATTAAGTCAGTAAATATATACATTAATGCTATTCATGTAGTATGTATACATGTGTGAACAATTTACTAATAAAAATATAATTGTGTATGTCTTACGTCATAGTTTTCAACTATTAAACTGGTGTCAATCTTATCAATGTCAGTCTCGTGTCCGTTTTTCTTAATATATTTTTTCCATGGTACCGGTATTATGTATTGGGTAACTGTATTATTGATTTTAATTCTCAATGTATGTTAAGCATTCTATTCTTTTTTTAAATATGAAACTAACGATTACACCATGTACTGTAAAAACCTCTGAAATATATACAATTTCCCACCCCCAGCTAACGAAGTTGTTACTACGGAAGCACCAACAGAACAGACATGTAAGTTTTCGATTGATTTCATATAACAAGGCCTATATTTTGCTACGATATAATATTAACGGAAGACGATATACATTCAATAAGGCTATATAATAAAATTATGATGATAATATTGATGATGGTGATGATGATGATAATGATGATGATGATGATGATGATGATGATGATGATGATGATGATGATGATGATGATAATTATAGTGAGGTGGCAAACATTTATTGTTCATATGTAAAGCTTGATAATGAAAAAGTAGCTTTGAGACAAAAACAGCTCAATTTTTTTTTAAAAATGTAACAAACTATATTTTCTTTTTTTATTTTTTATGCCACAGCAGGTAAGTCAAAAAGTACACTGTATCCCACGTTTATCATAATTATGTCGTTACACGTGAATAATATAAGTGTATAATACCCTTGATTTTATTATATCATTGTTGGAGTCTACCGTAAGTATATTGCATAACTATAAGGTACACTGTATACTATGTTTATCATAATTGCGTCGTTATACGTGTATGAAATAATACATCATAATTTTGTTAGTCTATATCATTGTAAGTATACTGTGTTGTGTTGTATTATACTGTTGTCTGTTGTTTCAATGTTGCATGCTTGCATGATCATCACAGGCATTTCAAACGGTTTATAAATTAAATTGAGATAAGAAAAATCATGTTAAAACCGGTGCACATCATGTGTTCCGTTTAATTTACAATATTTTGGAATTGATTGACCATCACGCGGAATGGACTTTTCTAGATTGCCAACCAAACTTAACAACTGACCAATCAGAACAGTTCCAGTAATACGCGCGTGTCTTACAAATACACGCGTTGTCCCACAAACGCACGTGTTTGGGTATGTCTTCACACTGTCGTTTTGTGTGGAGAAACAATATCCAAGGGGCTGAAGATCCATTGTTGAAATTTAAATGCGTGGCCTATCGGCATTGAACTTTTGAAAATTAGGTGTATCGTTGTTAACGAGGCAATTCTGTTCTCTATGATGACCAAACTTCAAATTAGAAGTTGACTAGTTTATTTATTCCGATTGTTTTGCCTTTTCTGTGTATTATTAATGAATGTAATCAACTTTTGCATGAATTTTTAATTGTATCTATTGAGAATCATGATTTTGAGATTCTTCCCGACGTCATTGTAGCCAGTACCGTATCACGTGAAAAGAAGTTGTTGTTACTGTTTTGTATCAAGAAGGTATGTATGAATATGTGTTGTTCTGTGTTTTAATGTATTGCGGTAACGGTTTATAGTTTTAATAGGCCTCTCACAGAAAAAAATACTATCAATTAGTTATACCTTTAATTAAACAATTTTTTTTAGAAACATATATATACTAGACCCTAATTTACTAAAATGTTGATATCGTATGTAGCAAGTCGAATGGAGCGGCAAACAACATGCCTCCGATTGTTCATTTAAATCCAATATAAATATTATTCAAACATTTCCAAAGATGGCCTGCAATAATCCTGATTACAATTAAGCAAGGGTACAAATAGGAAAGACCCACTTACATAAACAGAAAGGATACATTGGAACCAAATCTGGAAGTAAAGACGTCTCATTTTGATCACTTGATTTCAATCTCAATAAATTCAGTAAAGAATCATAATGGTCTGATAAAAAATCAGTTTAACAATACTGATTATATTCAAGTCTTATTTATTTTGTTGTAAACAATAATAATAATAATAAATAATAATAATAATAATAATAATAATAATAATAATAATAATAATAGTAATAATAATAATAATAATAATAATAGTATTAATATGATGGATGATTATAATGGTAATGATAACAAAAATTATAAATAATATTCTTAAGCACCGTAGGCCTATGTTTACCACTTGTATTTATAGGCATATTATATTGACATAGCTGATGTTTAAAATGATGCAATATAGGCCTGAATAATTTTTTTTGTTTTACTTGTATTGTAGTATCACCAGGTATCACGTAGGCCTACAGCAATCACTCAGTGTGGATTGCACCGGTATTTTAAAATAAATCTCCCTTTTATTAATATTTTATTTTACAAGTAAATAGAGAGATAGCTGTTCTAGCTAGGCACACCTTTAGCGCATTTTAAATGCCCGGTAACTTTGAATGATTGATTTAGAAATTTACGACTAAATGAAGAAATTTACTAGGTTAAATGAATAGATAAACTTATCAGCCAATCAGAAGCGTACTAATTTGTTAATACGTAGTATCTCCGAAGTTGTAGCATGGTGTGGTGAAAGCGTTGTTGTTTGCGTAAAAACAGGGAGATGTAAGTGGAGGCCTTTGCCAACAAACTAATGTAATTATATCTAACAAATAGTTGACAGTATATATAAGTTAGGCCGGAGTAGGAAAACATACATTGCCAATTGGTATCTTTAGGTTTGCCTGAGCTGAGCTAGGCTAGGCCGATATAGACCTCAGGCTCTAGGCAATCGCGTGCAGCGTGTATAGCATAAGCTGTGAATAGTATGCCTATGCCTATCCTAGATCGAGGTTCGAGTTAAATGCAGCCTATAGCCCAGCGGGTAGCCTTTAGCTAAGTAACTTCGAGCTCGCTCCTTTATTTTTTACATCTCCCTGGTAGGAGCAAGGTTATCTAGGCCTATGGCGTCTTCCTTCCATGATTACAGACAATTGAGTACTACTGACATTTTGATTTGGCACATCACTAACAACTGATCTGGACGTGGAGTTGTTGGTCCTTTAATTGGATTTGGGCTCATTAGCCCCCCCCCCCTCCCAGGTTTAGATTGGAAATGCAAATCTTCCTTCCTAAACCTACGGCATAACTATCTCTAAATAAATCCTGTATGCTCTTGTACACATTTTGGTAATCATTATATAAAACATTATCTTTTATACATATTTTTTATCTTTGTTTTTAAAGCTGTGCAAATTGTTGGTGACAACTGCCTGTTGTTTGAAACGGATACTCAGTACCGTTACCGTTACACTCTTCCACGGATCCCACAAGGTGTAAATGTAATTACATTTCGAGTTAAGGCAAGAAACGATGTTCATATTGCGCTGTCACCGGAAAACAACGATGTAGATGAAGAGTATGAAATTGTGATTGGGGGTTGGAGAAACACCAAATCTGTCATTAGACGCAGCCGCCAGGGTGATAACTTAGCAGTCTATGTCAACAGAAATGGATTTGTAGACACAGAGGAGTTCCGACGATTTTGGATCAGTTTTCGCGGTGGAGACATCCGTGTTGGTGAAGACGGAAAACCAGCATTTATGCACCTTCCTGATGGCTCGCCTATTGATGTTCATTACATTGGATATACCACTGGATGGGGTAGCGATGGAGAATTTAAGTTTTGTGATTTTGGTATGTCATCATTTTTGTGTTTACTGTCATTACCATCATTCTCATCATATAATCATAATTTTCATCATTAGTATGATAATTTCATCATCATTATCATATAATGATTATCATATCATCTATATCATCATCATTATCATCGTAATAAACATCCTTATCATCATATTATCATCATCATCATTATTCATAAGTTGTCATTTACAGTTCAACAACATTTTTCTTACTGACATTTGGTTCAAAGTCACATTATGCTACTCATGGTGCAAAGTGTTAATCCATGGTCTCTCATGATATACAGTATATGCTTCTAATACTTCACAATTCCAAGTCTCCTGGACTTCCATCACCTTCGACTATGGTTACATATTTCTCCATACACGAAAGTTATATTACACATTCTAGAATGCAATTAGTGACAAAGAAATCTAGGGGTGCAAACAGTTTTCATACCAAGTATCTAATCTTCATCAAACCTATCAGTATTCTATATCTTTTTAGTGTATCATGACAGTGAACTGTTTATTGTAGTTTATGTACATTGTTTCAACACATTCATTTATTTAACAAGTAAATGTGTTTGTCCTCAGGTGAAGCATCCATTAACAATATTCCGCCTGGGTTCCTAGAACGTGCATGTGAACGAGAATCCATTTCTATTGAATGTGGAGCGTTGAACGTTTTGATTTACAGCGCCAGCTATGGAAGGCACAATGACTGGATATGTCCCCACAGATCAATACAAACAACAGAATGCGAGGCTGATACTTCATTGAGTGTCGCAACCGAGCATTGTCAAGGTGCTCGCAGCTGTACAATCTCAGCGAACAATAATGTGTTTGGCGATCCATGTCCAGGGACCTTCAAGTACCTTGAAGTCGCGTATGATTGTGTCCAACCTCGTAAGTTGCTTGTTTGTAAATTAAATTTCTTTTTTTATATGAATAATAGAATGCATTTTTTTGTTACTTTGAAAAATGTTTAGATAATTATTTATTTTTAAGGAGTGAATTATTTCTAAAAAATAATAAAGTCTCTTTTATTTGTATCACACAGCCCACTCAAATCAAATTTTGGATGGTGAGTAATTTTCATTTTGTCTTTTGGTTATTCAGTCAATTTGGGAAATTCAATCAATTAAGCAGTTTACTGATCAATCGCATATCAGTCAAAATCAACCCCTATTAGTTCACTTAAGTGCTCTTAAATTAGTTACACTTTGTTAACTGATGATTGCGGCCTGAAATTCGGCTTACGGGCCACAAATAGTGTAGTTTTTCTTGTTAGTGCTGATATGGAATTAATACAATTTATTCAGTTTATTTAAGTTTATTTCTATTACCCAAGTATTATTCAAGGTACAATAAATATCTAGTACTTTCATAGTAGTAGTAGTAGTAGTAGTAGTAGTAGTAGTATTAGTAGTAGTAACATATTTTGCTTTCGCCATCATGACAAGAGTTGGATGCAGTAGTAAAACTGATGATTGTTGTTATTAATTGTTATTATATTATGTTCATTATTAGTGTAATTATAAACATGTGTCAGATGATAACCACCATTTTAATGTATGATTTTGCTTTACAATGAAATCCTTTCCAGAATGCGCAGCTCCCTTAGGGATGGAAGATGGCCACATAGATGGTAACAGAATCACTGCTTCAAGCAATGCTGGTGAAGAATTTGTCCCGTCAGCTGGACGCCTAAATGGCAATGGCGCTTGGTGTGCGGGCACAGATGATACTGATCAATACCTCCAAATACACTTGCCATACTTAGGCACCATCGCTGGGTTGGTGATTCAGGGTAGAGCAACCAACCCTGCTTGGGTCGAGTCATATGAAGTGCAGTACAGTCGGGACGGAAGAAATTGGACTCCTGTTGGGCTTAATGGTCCAGCGGTGAGTAATTTTACACAAGTGCATTGTTGAATTATAATAATAGAAAAATTAATACCAGCCTTGAATTCCTGTCACATCATTCTTTGATGATATGCCAATTATTTGATTTCTTATTTTTACAGATCTTTCCTGGAAATTCAGATGGCGCTGATACATCCGAACAACGCTTTGCGCAACCAATTGAAGCCATATTCATTCGCATTTTACCTAAATCATGGAGCGACCATATCTGCATGCGAGTTGAATTGCTTGGCTGTAATGGTAAATATTGTAGCTAAACAAAAAAGCAGAGTTGACTAAGTGCTATGTTGATAGTTATTGTACAGTAGAACCCCTCATTTACGAACCCCGATTTTACAAGTTCTCGATTTTACGAACGTAAAAAAATGTCATTGTTGTCATAAATAAAGTTCCTATTTCATGTACAAAACACACATGCCTCTCAAGAATTAATCGTTAGGCGCGTGCTGGAGTTTATTCACTCGGTTTTAAACGGTATGCTGTACACTATCTCCTACAATACAAAATGCAGATAGTGCGCTTTGAATACACCAACATTCAACCCTACGATCATACTTCATGTCTGCAGCTGTGAGAAAACTCCGCCGAATGCGTAAGTTGTCGGCATATCGATAGACGCATGATTTATTCAGTGGAAAATGTTCGTAAACAAACTTGAAAGTGAATAGCATTCACTTTCAAGTTTGTTTATGAACATTGTCGACCATGTGTCTTGGCCCTAACTCTTACTTAATAGAAAAGACAAAATAATCTTCGTAATTAACCCACCTACCAAATTTATTTTAACCAATGATATTCGAATAAATTTCACATGAGAGATTTCTGTGTAGTGTATAGGCCTGCAGTCACGTTTAGGTTCGATTTATCATTTTAGTTGAAAATGGATTTTATTTGTCAAATCTCACTAACGTTAATCTACCATTTCATTATTTCCCCCAAAAAATAAGACACTGACACTCACATAACTTTAAAAAAATGAAGTCCAAGCACCATGTCTACAGCCAATCAGCGCTCTTCTTTTAAAAAGTGAAACCCTGGTTTCCAGGTTATTCTGTACAGATATTTACTTGATGTCACAACCACATGGATCAAGTGAAAAACGTTGTTGCGTTACTCGCCTTGTTGCAGTGCCCGCAGGGCTGTGTTTCTTCGTAAGCTAGAAGATAAGTCATATAGGCCTATTAATAAAGTTTGTATACACATTAACAAGTATGTATAGTACTACACATTTATGATCGTTATTTTGAATTTTTTTTCCAGCGCAAATTGGAGTTTTGGCTCCAATCCAACAAAATTCCAGTCCAGGCCTAGCCTAGCCCAGCCTAGCTTATCGGTAGTGTAATTACATAGGAATTTCACACAACCCCAATTTTACGTATGAATGATTTTTACGAACGCCTCTGGGCCCGTCCCGTACGTAAATGAGGGGTTCTACTGTATATTTCGTGGACCACAATTATGCGTATGATCTTAGTATTTTGATAACATTTGATTGAATAACACACTATCTACTCTATGGTGATATGTACTTACAATCCCATGATGCAATTTTTCAGATGGAGTACTTCCTGAGTATGCCATCCAAGAACAAGGTAAAACATCATTACTTGTCTTTGATATTAAGTACTACATTGGGACTTCTGGTTCTCCAAATCATAGAAGCATTGGCTTCTTCAGCCAGGAACTTTTTTAAGGCATAACAAATAAAGGAAATACTAGATAATAAATAATTTAACAATATTGTAAGCATATAAAATATTTGTATTACTGCAATGCAAATCTTTTCTAATGTATCGTAGAATGCAGAGAATCACTTGGAATGGAAGATGGCAGACTAGCATCCACACGGTTATCTGCCTCAACCTCTCATGACCAACGACACATGGCTATCAATGGCCGCCTTCAAGCTCGAGGTTCATGGTGTTCTCGTGAATTGGACACCAACCAATGGGTGCAAGTCAGCCTACCACATCCGTATACAATAACTGGGATAACGACTCAAGGACGTTCAGATTACGACCAATGGGTGACGTCGTATAAGATACAATATAGCATGGATGGAGCTAGGTGGCAAGATATCATGTCCAGCTCAGGGAATGCATTGGTAAGCTAAATTTTTTAACATCTTATATTCTACAATTACACATAGAGTAATCTAGACTTAAATTCCTTATTCTGATTTACATTGCAGCAATACCAATAAAAATTGATTATAAGAGTCCAATTTAATATTATGTAACAATATTATTTATTAATATAAAATATGTAATATTATATAACATTAAATATGAAGCATTATATAATATTTATATATTAAATAATATATGATATATATAACTAATTAATTGCACACACCTTCGTGACAAAAAAACATAACATATGTAATAACATATGTATTCTGTAAATAGTTCTAGTTTTTCATGGGTGCACAAAATTTTTCAAGGTGCACAAAATTACTTACACAACATTGGTATGTTTTATTCACATAGGCATTTCCAGCTAACAGTGATAGGGACACGCCAGTCACCAACATATTTGGTTCACCAATCGTTGCCTCTGTCATTCGAGTAAATCCTCTTACTTGGAACGGTCACATTAGCATGCGCTTTGAACTTCTCGGTTGTCAAGGTAACTTTCCTAAAATGTATTTTTTACATGACAGTACCGTAAATCCTCAAAATGAAGCCCAGTGGGCTTAATCTCGAGATGAAGCCTATCTTGAATTTAAGCCCCCTCTTTAGTTTGCAAAATTAGCCTCGAAAAGAAACCCATCTCTTGAAAAGAAGCCCATGGGCTTCTTTTTTCGAGATAGTACAGTATACATACACAGTACATTAATTTCAGAAAACAACATAAATTAAATACAAGCTTGGTTTATACAGTAGTTTAGGTGATTTAATGTCAGTTCAATACACTCCATGATATAGATTAATGTTACAATGGCCTTATTTATTGTTTTATATTACAAATTCACAAAATTGACAGCATTCATTTTGAAAAGAAGCCCCCATCTTTGCTTTGCAAAAGTAGTCTCGAAAAGAAGCCCATCTCGAAATGAAGATCATCTCGAAAAAGAAGCCCATCCAAAGTTTGCAAAAAAAAAATAAGCCCAGGGCTTTAATTTCGAGGTTTTACGGTATGTTGTTTGAAGAAATTGTCAGTACATGAGTGAGAGTATAGCTGTTAAACTATTTTACTATAATACTTTATACTTATCTATTAAAGTTCATATTCTATTTGTTAGTGTTTTTTTAATTAAAATTATGTTTCTTCAGTTCAGTTCAGTTCTGTTTGTTTCTTCAGTATTGAGTGATATTTTAATACTTCAAATGAGTAACCTAAGGCATGTTCTGTTAGCAATCTCTTATTATGTATGATACTAGATGATGTGTACATAATTATATTTTTTACACTGACTTATAAATCATGTGTTTAAAAATGTTTAGATGTATAAATGTGACTTTGTTTAATGATTTAATAATATGACACTTTTCGGTCAAGTGCTGAATGATGTATATCAAATATCAAATCAAATATCAAATAATTCTTTTTTGCAACACACCAAATGGGTTGAATTTTACAATGGTGTTGACAGTTGACAGATCTTGACAGTTTCTTGTTTATATTCTTTCAGTGAGTCAGCTGCCAGTGTCACAGACTAGATACAATGCCATAAGTGAGTCTAAGTATATATAATTTCTATATAGTATATTCGCTATATAAGTTATCTACTGTAGAGAAAACTGTGAAAGTCCTGTAATATCAGCCTTATGCTGCCCTCTGTGTTTACTTTATAGTAAACAAAATAAATTATTTTAAATTTAGAATATACATGAATTGTTGTTTGTCATTTTCTTATATAACAAAAAAAGAAAATATAAAAACATTTCTTTCGGAGAACTATTACTGAGAAAAAGAAACATCTATTTAAATTTATTTTAACTCGCCTAAGCCTTAGGCCAAATAATATAAATTGTTTGTTTGCCCTTCTTTTTTTAATAATGATAAATAGGGGCGGGTGGAAAAGTTTTTTTTTAAATTTATTTATTTTTTAAAAATACTCATCAGATGGAATAAAAAAAAAAACCCACAGAGGCCTAGAATGGCAATATCTTACATCAGACAACTTTAGACTAATTTGTAGGGAATCTGGCAAAAGTAAAGATAAATTCCCTCACATTTTTTTTAAATTTGTAAATTAAATGTGCCAGTATTTTTCATTATTTATGAATTATTTTATATTATATAAAATGCAAGTGATGGATTATTATACTATATGATAATAACACATTTTAGCTGTTAACTTTCTTTACAGGTGATGCATATTGGTAAAAAACCATATCGTATTAAAAAAATCACACTGTTAATAGTTCAATTTTGTTATCGACTTGTTGTACACTATCATAATCATTTCACTCCTGGTTAAAATCTTTAAATGCATTGTAAATCGTTTGTAATGCACCGCATGTTCATCTAAAGCTACAAATTGAGGCTGTTTACTATTTCAATTAGTTCCAGCCAATACATCGAAAGTAAAACTATTAGCGAAAACAGCACATCAAGACTAACTGCTTTTATTTTTAATCATTTTCTTGTCCAAGCCCCTTTTTAAAATTTTCATGGGGGTTTCTTCCTGATATATTATAGCAGATATTATGAAGTTCTGCCTTTAACCAAAAATCCCTTTCACTTTGAACAACCATTGCCAACTATAACAACTTATTCAGTTGGTAGATTGTTGACTAGTACTTGAAATTCACTGCTTCAATTCCCTGTCCTCTTTTCTCTGCTTCAATTTACGTAGCAGTTTATCAACATTATAAAAAACAGTATCTCCTTTGTCTAATTTATTTTGTGAATACTTACCTGGATAAACATTGACAACCTGTGCTGCTGTAAATATAGTGGTAAATTGCCATGTCAGATTTCCACCTGTATGCTTATCAAATTTAACACTAGGCATAGGCAATTAGTTGGTTTATCCAGGTTATGGGAAGTACCGAAGCTTCTGTTTGATGATATATAAAATAATTACAGTTAGTCCTTAAGTGCTGTCTTTGTTTTGTTTGTCATACCATTTCATTAATCACAACATTGAAGCTCTGTCTACTCTAGCAAGTTTAATGTAACATCATATACTTGTAATTTGCCCACATGGGTGTGATGTGACATTATCATGCCCATATATATGCAAATTACAAGGAATTGGCACATAAAAATTGAAAGTTTAGACTTATGTTTGTACTGTATGTTTCATTCAGAAGAAACCATCTAGCTCCCTGTTTTTATGTAAACACACTGTACTCTATTATATATATACAGAATGAGTAATCATCTGCATTAGGTTCAAAGACATTCCATTACAATTTCATGTGTTCAGCCATTGGTATTTATGTATATTATATATTTATATATATTGTTGTTGCTTATTCATGTATATATCATAACGTGTTTGTGATTTTATTACACTCATAGTGCAAATTGTTTTGTATTTTGTTTAATGCTTTTGCAATTTCTCAGTAAAAGCATTAAAGAAAATCTACCAGAGTGTATTTTGGTCTGATGAAATTCGATATAAATTTCATGATAGCAAAAAATATCAATTGGTTTGTTTACTATTATATATAATTGTACCATTGCTGTTACTATAACTGTAATAATTATTACTATTGATATTACTAATAAAATTTGTATTGTTAATATTGGTAATATAATAATTGTTATTATTATAAAGAAAATGTTTTATTTTAAATCCAACGTAATTAAATTTTATTTTGACTGAATTAAAGCATCATGCCGTAATCAACTTGGCATGGAAGATGGAACGATTATTGACGACCGTATCACAGCCTCCAGCATAATGAGTGATGCTGGTAGCACATCCCATGCTCGCCTCAACTATGAGGGAGGTCGAGGAGATTTTGGTGGCTGGGTTCCCAGTTCTAGCGATGAAAACCAATGGATCCAAGTATCTCTTGACTCGCCAAAGCAAATCAGCGGAATTATAACCCAAGGCCGATCAGATGATAATCACCGTGTAACATCATACAGAGTGGAATTCAGCGTGGACAATGTTATTTGGCGCGCCATATCAGCAGATGGAAATGAACCAAAACTGTTTGCAGGGAATACTGATAGAAGCAGTCAAGAGACGAACTACTTTCCAGAACCAGTTATAGCTAGTTATGTCCGGATCAGACCTGTTTCATGGGAACGCCGCATCAGTATGAGGTTTGAATTACTAGGGTGTGATGGTAAGTATTACAATTTAAATAATAGTACAGTATGTGTATATTATATGTCAAAAATCAACAGCATTTGCAATTAAACCAAGATTCATTACAACATCAGTTGTTAATAATATATATATATTAATACTTCTGGTACACCACATAGATAGTTTTGAAAAGAACTGTTGTTGGTTGGTGCACAGACTGAACACTGGATTTTGTATTAGGCTTTACACACATAGGTCTATTTCGTGAATACTTACCTGGATAAACCAGTCAGTAGCAAGTCTCACTATCCAAGCATATAAGTATTTCCCTGCTTGGAATTTTCTGCAGTTATTATTCTCCTATCTACCACAAGCATTAATATATATTATTAGTTTTATTATAAATATGTTTTTACAGTAGTATATAATACCCCTTTTATGCTGCCGAGGGCAGAATAAACCTGTGTTAATTCCGGAGTGATCCTGGGTGCATTTCCCATTTACATTGAACAATGTTGCTCCCGAGTTGCTCCCATTTTACACCGGCAACAAACTCGGGTTCAATATCGTTCCCCCCCCCCATTTTTTTTGCGATGGTGATCATCACTTTGCTTGCGTTTCTCGTAATGACGAAGCTGCAAATTATTGTCAATATTAAAGCAATGTATATGCAGATTGTTTTTAAATTATGCGAATTAAATCAACAGTTTTGATAGCAAGTCTATACTGGAGCGCATGGAGTTTAATTTGAAAAGTGTCTAGGCCTAGCCTGTTGCTACAAAGTTTAGGCCTACCTACCACAGCTGCGATAGGTGCCAGGTAAGGCCTAACTCCAGAATCAAATTCAGTGTTGTTTACACTGGTGATTTTGGAATGCACCCGAGGTGTCCAACTCTGAATGCGTCCCACACATCAATCCCAGAATGTTTGGCAACCCAGGTTATATTTTTTGAAGTTTACACCAACCACAACTTCGGAGTTTCTAGCCCGGGTATTGCAAAATCCTGGGTTGTGTCTGGAGTTTTTCTTGCAGTTTAAAAGGGGTATAATACTTTAAAAAATAGAAATATGATGCCCAACGTTATAGTGAATTACAGATGCAATACTTACATTTTATGACATGGATTTTTGCAAAAAAACCAACTGAAAAAAAAATGTATTCTCGTATTTATTTTACAGTAAATGAAGAACAAGTTCAAACTTTCACCCGACTTGTCTGTGAACGGGATACCATGCAGCTGATGTGTGTTAGAGGCACTATCAACATTGTGGAAGCAATGTACGGACGTCTTAATGATGACAACTGCCCAAGTGGCCCAATGAATGATTTTACATGTACATCAGAGACCAGTACAGAGGTGGTGATGACCCCATGCCAGGGCAGACAACAGTGCACTATTACAGCAACTAATGGCGTTTTTGGTGATCCTTGTCAGGGAACATTTAAATATCTTGAGGTTAAATATCAATGCTTAGGAGAAGGTAGGTAGTCATTTTATGTATGTAAGTTTCACCTTTAAATTTAGTACTAACATCAGAGTTGAGGTATATTGCACTTAAAGATCTGTATCTCATTAACCGTTTCCTAGTGTTTCGTCAAACACTGTGTTTTAGAAAAATTAGTTGTAAATCATATCAAAAAATTAATGTCTTCTGAGGTTGACTTTAAGTTGTGGATTATGATATGAATAGAGGTGTTACATTTCAATCCGTGATTGTACAGAAGAAAAACATCCTGTGTGAGCGTAGAGTTTCAAAATTGTTTCTTCTCAGTCAACTGTGATTGACTCTTTACCTAACACAATATAATACACTATGATGGTCTATAAACTAAAAATGGGTACCTAGTAGGGCTATGTGGCATTGAATGTGTTAGTCTATATCGGTATTAAATTGCAAGTACAAATCAAATATTCCCCAGGGAGTGGAGGATGTTGCACTTTGTGCTGGTTTGATTATGGATCCAATGACCATGGGTTATAATAACAATTCACCAGTGCCTTAATTGTATCCCTTGGCAAAAGGTGCGGTATAAATCCCTAAATAATTATTAATTATAAATCTCAATACAAGTCTTAGGGATGGCAACTGTTTTTTTCACAAGTAAAGAATTCAGGATGTTGTTTGCATGATTTGGACCCAGGACCCTGTGATTCAAAGGCAAGCTACTGAACCACCATGATAAATCTCCACTACAATGCTGAATACAATATCAAGATATATTTATTATGCAGATTTTATTTTATATTTTTGTCTTTGTTCAAAAAGATGAAATGTATGTATCTTTGTCTAATCTAATGCTGGTTAGTACTCCTTGCAAAAGAGGAGTAAAACAAACAAACTAATGTTTAACGTACTATACTTAACATAGCAATATGTGCCGAACCAGTTGGAATGCAAGATGGCTCAATATCTAGCGACCGTATCACTGCCTCTAGCGAGTACAATCGCAATTGTGGATCATCATTTGGACGATTACAGAATACAGACAGATCTGGTGCGTGGTGTGCACAGTCCAACGACCAGAGCCAGTGGCTTCAAATCAATCTCGGGGAGCCTCACACAATCTCTGGTGTTCTCACTCAGGGACGTTCAAATAATGACCAATGGGTGACAAGCTTTACTGTACAATATAAGATGGATGGTCAAGACTGGACAGATATAGTGGACAGTAATGGAAACGTCAATGTAAGTAAAAAAAAAAACAAACAACCAATTCTTATCAATTGTTGAAAGTCATTGATTGTCTTGTGGAAGCCTTTGACATCTCACTGGAAATATTTTGTACTTTGACACCTAAATGGCTGTGAGTTTTGTCCTTTGACAAGACACAATTTTCTCTTTCAACCCAGGTGTATAAATGGGTGAATACAGGATGAACCAATATATATATACCAGTTTCCTTTTTGTGACTTGCCTTGAAAATAACGTAACTGTCCAACCCAGGAACATATAGCGTATGGGTGTAATAGACCTCATTTTACGTAGAGATCAACATTGATTGATTTATCCAGTAGTGTAAATAGGTACCTGGTTGAATGGAATGTCTGAATTAGCTGTACAGTACTACTAATATCCTCCTTCCTCCCCCTCCAATTCTTACTATGCACACAAACTTTCTCTTTAATACTGACCTTGCTATCTTGTTTTTTTTTGTCTGACAGATTTTCACTGGTAATGAGAACCGAAACACTGTGAAGACAAATTTGTTTCCAACAGCAGTAACAGCACAAGACATTAAGATCCTGCCACAGACTTGGGAAAGACATATAAGCATGCGTGTTGAACTACTGGGTTGTGAAGGTAAAGTTGTCTTGTAATATTTTGAACATGTTGGCTGCCGCGACAAGTATACTCGCCCACAGGGTGTTGCTGAGGGTGCCAGGGACAAGTATACTTGTCAAAATCGGTGTTATGCTTTGTAGAATCACAGACTCAACGTCTGGTAGTTCAGGGAAGGTACGCTTAGATGATAGGTAGTATACTTGAGCGGTACAAGTAGGGCGCCCTTTGAACATATACCAACCCATGCAAGAAGCAGTATGAATGTTTCAATCAATCTATATAATACCCCTGTAGCACATTTTTTTTAAATAATTGGCTCTAAAAGAATAATTTAATGTATAGTTTTGAAGCATGAAGATAAGATGCCAAGTTTTATGCCGAATGTGGTATAGGCTGGTCACCAATGTCTAGTAATACTCAACAGAAAGTTGAGTATGTGGCAATTTTTAAAGGCTATGTCTTATTTTTGCAAAGGCCATGATAAATCATTACCCAGTCAGCAGCATCCTGACTGGGTTCTGTTTCTGATCAGTTTCTTTCTTTCTTTCTGGCAACATTTTAAAAGGCTACTAGTGGCAAACTACTGGACCGATTTTATTAAAACTTGGTCAGGGGTTACATAGGGGTCATCAGGGTCAAATTTTCAAAATAGCCCAATTGAGCTCGAATTTACCAGGAATGATCCTTAGGACCTTCTAAACATGAAAAAAATACTTTTCGTCTATAGGTCAAAAGTCACAAGGGAGTTTTAGTGAAAATTATCAAATATTGCTAATGACTAACGATTGGACCAATTGCATTAGACAGACTCCTACCAAACATGGGGTGCTTGAGGTCAAAGGTCACAGTGGTCACCTTAGGGTCAAATCCTGAAAAATGACTGGGTTCATGTTCTATTGAACATAGTATCTCTAGTTACTTTTGTATTTTATATAATTTTGTGGTTGAATCTGGAATGTAATGAAAACCAATGTATTTGCATTTTGTGTATGTGATTCAGAATAATATAGAAAGTTGGAAAAAAAATATTAAGATATAAATTGTTTTGAGATGTTAAGTGAAAACCATTTTATTATTATTATTCTTTTATTGAATCCCCAGCTACTGAAGGTGCTGCTAATGATGTTGTGATCAATCGTAAGTGAAGAAAGAAATAAATTTAATCTTTATTTATGTACAAATCAACTTATAGTGGTAAAATTCTCCAATATTAAGTTGACAGCTTATTATTTCTAAACTAAATTTAAATACTGCACAAACAATTAAACACTACAATAAAAAGATAATGCTAGTAATAATAGTTACAAGTATTCACAAACATTACACATTTCAAGAACATGCTAATTACATGAAAAAATATATTTTGTAATTCTTACAATTATTTATTTCTTTTTTTTTGTTATTTTATCAATGTTTTATGTTTTATCTCATCGCAACTGATAATAATAATAATAATAATAATATAATAATAATAATAATAATAATAACAAAGAATCACTTGGGGAAAAAAAACAGTTATCCGTATTATCTATTGAGATACTGCCAGACAATATATTCTGTAAAACACCACAGAAATAAAATTTTAATACTGTATGTTATTTTGGTCACAGTAAAAAAAATTAAAAATCAATAGTAAACAGGTGTTTAAGCAAGATACATAATATTTCCTGGTCTATTTAATCTTTCAGCAACTTGTGAGCCACAGACATCTGAGGTTTGTGAGCGGGAATCAATGAGTCTACGCTGTCAGGTTGGTACTATCAATATCCTTGATGCTATGTACGGACGCGATTCAAGTGAAACTTGCAACCCAAATCCAAGCCACAACACAGACTGCCGAGCTGCAACATCGCTAGAGGAACTTAGAACAGCTTGTCAGGGTGAAAGGAATTGTGAGATCAGAGCTTCTAATGGTGTTTTTGGAGATCCCTGTCCTGGCACATTTAAGTTCCTTAGAGTCAGTTACTGTTGTGAAGGTCAGTTACAATAAAATATTAACTCCTGCAAAATTAGGAAAAAATATTTTTTCATGCTTAAAAAACAAAATGAAAATATCGCAGCCAATATCAAAAGAACCATCGATCTAAAGCCACAATATTAAATGTACATGTATAATAAACATTAAAATGGTAATTTGAACAAAAAAAATCCCCTACATCAAAGGCTTACAATAATCATAAATATCATAATCAAAATAAAAGTAAAAATCATCACAGAAATCACTAAATGGGAAGCTACAAAGTTTATGAACATTGAAATGCTTAGGCATTACAAAGTGGATCAAAAAGGTCATAATATTTTAATAAATTATAATATCATAAACATTTGAAAGTATGAAACACACTAACAACGATATTGCAAGTTGGGGGAGGGGTGTGGAACAAAGAATAAGAGCACTGAATACCCCTTTAAGTGGTGTGTATTCCCATTAAAACGATTAAACACAACACAGATAATAATGACTACTACTGAGACATGTACCCCATACAAAAATTATAAGGCATTATTATTAATATTATTATTTATTATTATTATTGTATTTTTGTTATTATTGTTGTTGTTATTCTTTTTATTACTACTATTACTAATGCAAATACTATACTGTTATTATTAGATGATATGTTAGAGTAGGTCTGAGTAGCTGAAGAGAAAATTTTATGACTACCTTAAAACAGGGTGCAAGTCGATTCTACTTTAGTGATCAGTTTTGGTGACAAATAAAATGCTGACACACTGCACCAGTCAATCAGTCAGGTTTGGTGACGGCATCATGAATGAAACTGATGCTTATCAGATCTATTAGGTAGAATCGGGTGCTTAAAACATTTGGTTTTTAGTTCCAGAGGAACCAGAGGAGCCTACAAATCACCTAACTGAAACCGTGTGTGAACGAGAGGAGATGCAGCTATCCTGTAACGAAGGAAGTCTCAGAATCCACAATGCATTCTACGGCCGTGCTGATGAAGAAACATGTCCCGGTGGTTCAGTTGGTTCTACATCTTGTACTGCTGAAGGCGCACTTCAAATAGTACGCAATTCTTGCCAACGTCAGCGTTCGTGCGCTATAGGAGCCGAAAATCGTGTCTTCAATGATCCGTGTCGTGGAATATACAAATATCTCCAAGTATCATATACATGTGAAGCGGATGAAGAAGGTATAAATTATGTGTTTTTATTTTGGGAGCAATTTCTGATGAAAATAAACAGTGTAATGCATTGATTCTATTTATGAAATTTTGTTGACTGTGTTAGCTGGTTTATACTTTAATTGATGTCAGTTTATTTTTCTTTTGGTTGTTTTTCTTGCAATTTTTGGTTGATTTTATGCAATTTTTAAGATTGAGAAAGAAGTTCAGCTTGCTAGTTATTTCTGTGTATACAATTAATTTTAGGCAGTGTTTGCCTTACTTGTACTTTTTATAAATAACAATATATATCTGCTTCTGTTAGATTGTTTGGTAGCCACTGAGCAAGTGTGCGAACGTCAACCTCTTCAACTCCGATGCAGATCAGGTGAAATAGAGATCATTGATGCCATGTATGGACGCGATGAGCGCAGGTCCTGTAGAGGCTCAAACAACTATCCTGTCGACTGTGTAGCAGAATCGTCTCTAGAACAGGTCAGAGCAGCATGTGATGGTCAGCGCAACTGTAGAATCAGAGCCACTAATGATCGATTTGGTGATCCATGCAGAGGTGTACGGAAATTTCTTAGAGTAACCTACTGTTGCCGAGGAGCTACTGGTAAGCATCAATATATTTAATGACTCAAAATGAAAATTCTTATTAACTGACCTTATTTTTATTCTTAAAGTTGATTTTTTTATACATCCAATATTGTGAATTCAGTTGTTTAATTCCCTTGTAGATGAGCCCCCCGCCCCAGCTATATTGAGTGTCTATTCCCAGAGCACTACATTTCCCTTTTTACTAGATTAACAGGCATTAATTCACAATATACAACCTTCTCCATTATCTGATATATTCAGGACCAGATTCAGGACAAACTTATCCATTATTCTACCAAATTCCTATAATAAACTCCCAAATTGAGAAAAGCATTCTGTATACAGGAAGTGTTTTTGCAATGACACCCACACTCCTCAACCTCTCCATTAGAAAGCTGAAATCCAAAACCTTACTGCTTCACCATGTTTGTGGTGGTGATGCATTGCAGAGGTATGTCACATTACAGTATGTTATAAAAAAGAAGGGGTTTTTTTCAATCAAGTTAGGTATAGTTAAGCAAATTTACAAAATATTAATTCAAAAGAATTAATAAATTAATGTGCTGCATATGATGTGTTGTGTGAATCAGATTTGGGAAGTCTCATGAATTTTAAGTTTACCTATATTGTCTTTATCAATAGAGAGGGGGCCTGAACGGCCGCGCCGAAGGCCAGAGAGGGACTCCTCGTTCAGTACCTGTATTGGATGGGGTGACCCTCATTACATTACATTTGATGGACGTAGGAAAAACTTCCAGGGTAACTGCACATATACGTTTGTTCGAGATGCTACTGATGACGAACCAGCATTCACTGTGAACGTCAAGAATCAGTACCGAACCCGGCCACATGTCACATTGGCAGAATACGTTTTGGTTAACGTTAGCGGTATTCTGATCCGACTAAACAGAAACTTTGATACCTTGGTAAGAAAATAATTTTGTGTTTTTGCTGAAACTTTGTTTGGAACATGGTTCCACAGATGGAGAGATTTGCAATGATCTGTGTGTAGAGATTTATCATTCATTTTTATTATGACCATCGCGATACTAGGTTTATGATTGTTTTTTCTGTTTTTCTAGATAAATGGTGTGAGGTCAGTTCTGCCGTACATCCCGTCAAACCACCTGTCAGTGTCCATGTCTGGCAGAAATCTCTTGCTTGTAACCGACATTGGATTCTGGCTTACGTGGGATGGTAATTCTAAGATTGAAGTTGGAGTTAGCGCGGACTACGAGGGCAATGTGGAGGGTTTGTGTGGTAACTATGATTCTGACCCCAACAATGACTTAATGCTTCCAGATGGTTCTCTAACCGATGATGAGAATGTATGGGGTAACAGCTGGAATGTTATAGACAGGTAATATTTATTCTAATGTTAATTGTTATGTAGCTTTGTGTGAAAATATGTGGGTAGATACAGTAGAGTCGG